GTAAAGAAGCTCATTCACCTTACCTTGCCGTGGCCTACGTCGCGCTACGAATCCGGCGGACCGAGTTCCAATCCTGCCCAGGTCCAACACCGCCAGTGACGAATATTTGAACCGGTCCTGTGCCTCCCCTAGGTCGACTCGACCTTAAAATAAGTACCCCGTGCGGTGTGTAGTAAACATCGGCACTGGGGAGACAAAGGCGGCCGGGCGGGCGTGGTGGTGGTGGCCACCCACCCACCGCTCGCGTGCCGTGGCCGCATTCATAGGCGCTGCTGCTGCTGCTACTGGCTAACAGCACTTGCCCCGACATCATGCGGAGCCTACACGGGGCCTCTTTGTCTTTGTACACGTGTGTGTGTGTGTGGCACAGCTGGTACATATGCCAGTCATCTCTACCCACAGCGCACCCGGGAGACCTTACGTCGCCAGCATCTCCGGCCCAAATTGGCGCCGCAAGACGTGGCCGCCTGGGGGTGCAACAGGGCTGCCCCGCGCGGTCACCAGGTGCCCCTGAGGCCGTTCCGCGTCAGTCGAACGAACCAGCTGGTCGGGATCGATCCCGAGGGGCCGTTCCCGCGATTCCCACCGGGGCGACCGCGAAATCCTCGTAGCGGTCGAATAGTTCACCCGCTATCCCGTGGCGGCGGTCATCCCGATAAAACGGCCCTTGTGGTGGCTAACACCCATCGCGAATACCCGCCCCCACGGCCCTTTAAATCGCCGTCAATAGAAGTCCCCAATCTAGATTTGAAGCTTTCGTGACTGCAAGGATTCATATTCTTAGGTTTTTTCGGTAAAGTCACGTAGGTAAAAAAATGAAATTAAAATGAATAAAGTAAAATAAAAATCACGACGTTTCGGAGGCAACACAATTTTAAGTTTATTTTTTTACCTACGTGACTTTACCGAAAAAAACCTAAGAATAAGTCCCCAATCGGTTACGCGGGTACGAGTGACGTCTCGGCCCTCTGATCCCTGATCCCCGTTCCGCGCGTGCGATCGGTGCGTCGGTCCGAGACCCGTCCCGAATACCCGCCCATCCACAGCCCTTTAAACCATCTCCGTTACCCACCCACGGCGGCCGCGCTTGTGCGAGCGACGTGTGATTGGTGCGCGGGGTTGTGCGAGTGGAGACGTAGCATTATAATAAATTACTATCGAAGGCATATAAAAAAAAAATCTTAAGTAAAAGCAACCATAATAGAGGTTTTGTGGGTTAGATCGCGTAAATATATAAATGTTGTGTCGTTCAAACCCGACACCACCCGACACAGCCAACCAGTGAGGGTTGTCACGTAAACAGAACGTGGCCAATTCGTCACTAGCACAGCACTAGTGTGTAGTGTAGTGTATAGTGTGGTATACTAGTACAGCACTAGTGTATAGTGTAGTGTATAGTGTAGTGTAGTATACTAGTACAGCACTAGTGTATAGTGTAGTGTATAGTGTAGTATACTAGTACAGCACTAGTGTGTAGTATACTAGTACAGCACTAGTGTATAGTGTAGTGTATAGTGTAGCATACTAGTACAGCACTAGTGTATAGTGTAGTGTATAGTGTAGCATACTAGTACAGCACTAGTGTATAGTGTAGTGTATAGTGCAGTATACTAGTACAGCACTAGTGTGTAGTGTAGTGTATAGTGTAGTATACTAGTACAGTACTAGTGTGTAGTGTATAGTGTAGTATACTAGTACAGTACTAGTGTGTAGTGTATAGTGTAGTGTATAGTGTAGTAAACTAGTACATCACTAACCGGTGTGTTGGAGAGCCAAGCCACAACATTTACAATCTGAGTTCGACGTTTCGCCAGTAATTACAACCAACTTCATCAGGCGACAGCCAGATTTGTGACGAAGTCTGTTTCGTTCCTTATATCGAGGTGTAGATGTGGTGACCACACTAATGCGCTCTTGTGCAAAGTGGGGGGGCGGGTTACTGAGTCAACGCACATTATCCATGTGCATTATGGGAGCCCTTTGATCTTGTCCTTCCTGTCTATTGTTTATTAAAATAGCCGTGCCAAAGGTAATCCCTGTTGAAGTATGGTGCCCTTCTTCTTGGTTATTTCGGTAAAGTCACGTAGAGTGGAAATAATAAAATAATACAAATAAAATACAATTTTATTATTTTTATTTTTATTTCATGACTGCAGGGATTCATCAAGAAGATGAATCCCTGCAGTCACGAAAGCTTTAAATCGAAATATGGTGCCCTTCATAGCCATTCATTTAAACAATGTGTTACTTGATTAGCTTCCACGCAGCTCGAAGGCGGTAGATATCGTAACGGTTAAAATTATTTTTAGTTCTTTCAATTTCGATAGATTCTCTAATTACTCTTGATCTAATGGAGCTAGTTTATCAAAATAAATTGAGTGTTCTTGTTGGCACGCGTGTTACTGGCGAAACGTCGTACTCAGATTGTAAATGTTGTGGCTTGGCTCTCCAACACCACACCGGTTAGTGCTGTACTAGTATACTACACTATACACTACACTACTATACACTAGTGCTGTACTAGTGACGAATTGGCCACATTCTGTTTACGTGACAACACTCACTAGTTGGCTGTGTCGGGTGGTGGTGGGTTTTAACAACACAACATTTATATATTTTCGCGATCTAACCCAAAAAACCTCTTATGGATGATATTGATCGCTAAAGCCTACGTGTTCAACCATCTCAGTCAACTCGAGGCACCTGGGTCTATCCCGTGACCTGCACTTAGCCTGGCACAGTAATGAACCCATGGCACCTGGCTTGTCCCCGTGACCTCCTGCCAGCAGAGAGCCTTTGACGCTTCACGTTGCCTCAAAGTGCACTTAGCCTGGCACAAGTGCCGTGGTGAACGTGGGTTGTTGTTTGATACGTGTGTGGATGAGTACGTGTGAATGAAGGGGGTGTGGGAACGTGGCGTTGAGATGTGGGAAGCTGTATGCCCCAGGCTACTTTGGGTTCGCCTCCCCGTCAACAAGAGGTGAGGAGTGGTGGTGGTGAACATCAGTGGAGGGATTCGGGAAAGGCCGATGAGTCCGTTGCCTTGATGACCTCCTGTCCCAGGTGCTGGCTAAAGTGGCCCCTCCTGGGAGTCATCCTGTTGGGTGACTTTAATGCTCGCGTGGGTCATAATGCAAGCACCTGGGCCAGGGTGATTGAAAAGGCATGGACCAGATCAGCTAAATAACAATGATAGGAGGCTGCTAGAAATCTATTACCAGCACGCTGTTGCGGCACCGGCGCCTCCACACATCATGGACGCACGTACGCTCCAAGCAAGAACATCTGCTGGACTGCATAGTGACAAAACAGCGGATGCGGGCCCATGTCCTTGACACCAGGACCTACTGCGGAGCTGATCTGCTGACCATCGGCTTGTAATCGATAAAATGCGCCTGCCTTTATTCCGATGCGGTGGTGGCCAACCACCTCGGACCTCTTTCATTCCCAGTCTCAACGAGCGTTATGAAAGATGCAAGTGAGAATTTCATCACTCTACAACATAACATCCCTACGGCGGCTTACTGCAGCCTTCACTCGGAGGTTCGGAGAGCCATGCGGTGCTGAAGGATGAGCGGTGGCCACAGTTTTCATTCCATAAAAAAAAGTAACTTACAGCGCCACAATTATCACCATCCTCAAGGACCTTCGTGATGGTGGGCAGGCCTGGGTAAAGTTACGTGCGTAGGAGTCGGAGCCATTCCCCGCTCACCTTGGGGCGTGACAGGGATGTCCTCTGGCTCGTACTTTACACTTTTGTTTAGCTACGGAGTAAAACAATGTTCCATGGCTGTACCAGGAGAATTTCAATCTGCTACAGATAAAATGGGAGGCAGATGATGCCTCGGTGCGGTCAAGGGATGGCTCCTGATTGTCGTCAAGCATGTTCCTGATGCGGACGCTGTGGTGATTGATGCTCACGGGAGCCCACGGCTCTGCTGTTGGACCCGGAGTGTCACGAAGTAGTAGGTTACTAGCCAGTTTAACACTATGGGTACCTCAAAAAGGTGTCAGTTTTGTTGCCAGATAGAAGGGTAAAGAACCAATTATCATAGCCAGTTTAAGTCAGAACTGGCTGTGAGGTTTCCATCCGACATTCCGATGTTAGCACTTATTTTCGACTGATTTTACATTAACAGGTTCACACTAACACAGCCGCCGTTAACATTGACATGCTAATCTGTTACATTGTGACATGCTAATCTGTTACATTGTGACATGCTAATCTGTTACATTGTGACATGCTAATCTCTCAAACCTTTAAAACAGCCTGCCTCGGCAGCCTTCCCCCTTCTCCTGATGATTGCTTGTGTTGTGATCGAAACGTCGTGATATTTTTATTTATTTTTAAATCCTTTATATTATTGTTCTATCTACGTGACTTTACCGAAAGACCCAAAGAATATGAATTCCTGCAGTCACAAAAGCTTTAAGTCAAGATTTAGGTAGGTGGAGCTTTACCACCAGCCCCACAAACGAAGCACCTACACCTCCGTATTTTGCCCAACTGCCATCAGTTTTTCTTCCAATTCTGTTCTGATAATGCGAGTGAGTGGACTTGCAGAAGACGAGTACCAGCAGTGTCAAGATCGGCCTCGATGGTGGAGGCTTGCGAAGGACGCCGCTGGGCAGTTGTCCAAGGTGTGCCATGTATGAGTGTACTCGTGTGTGTGTAATGAGTGTGTGTATGAGTGTGTACTAACGTGCGTGTGGTGTGTGCGTGTATGAATGAGTGTGTGCGTGTATGAGTGTGTGTACCAGTGCGCCGGGTGGCCAAAACACAAAGTTTGCGCAGTAGGGGGCACAGGCGGTGCATCTGCCAGTAATGTCAGCCAACCTATGGCACCTGGGTCTGTCCCGTGACCTGTCGGTAAGCCTTCGACAGGTCACGTGGCCTCAAAGTGTACCGAGCCTGGCAACAGGCCCCGTGTTGACGTCACCGCCACTCGTGGGGAACGGGCAGCGGTTGTTGAACCGTTGCGAGCGAGAGAGGCCGGAAGTGAGCGATCGTCTCTTTATTGAATTTCTCTAGTTAAAACCACGAGCGAGAACAGGGCGACGACATGGGGCGGGGGACCACGTAAATAAAAGCGGCTTCGTAAGAAACAAACAATAACAACATCGTCGTCATCATCATCGTCATCGTCACCACCGCCGAGGGGGCGGGTAGGTGGGGGCAAGGGGGGACAGGGCAGTCGAGTGCCCCCCCCCTCTCCTTCATTAACACAAAACCTTCGCTCCGCCTATGGCTACCATCGGAGGACTGCCTCCCCCCGCTCCTCATCACCCAGCGGTGGATCCGCCAATACGGAAAGTGTGCCGGGAGTTGTCCCCCCTCCCAACCCCCCAGGTGTCGTCACCTCCACTGGGTGCCAGGAATCGTCCACCCCCCCCCGCCCGCCACCCTGGGGTGTCGGGAGTGGTTGGGGGTGGTTGTGGTTGAGGGGGGTTCACACAGCACCGATCCCGGCTTTCGGAGCGCCATGTAACGCTTTTCAGAATCCTCGTCACGGTCGTCGTCACGCATCGTTAAATCTACAGTCGGGGAGGGGAGGGGGGGGCCTTCGACGACAAGCGGCGTCACGCGTCTCAGGCAATGGCCACGGGCGGTGGCAGCGGTGGCGGCGACGGCAAACACCCGCCGCCGCCACCAGCGCCCGCCACCGCCACGTCTCTCCTGGTCCCACGGTGTCGCCGGCGCCGCGGCTCGGTGGGGCGAGCGTGGCGGGCGCGGGAGGGGGGTGGGGGTCAATGCGGGAGGGGGGGGGACCGGGAGAGATTAGAGAAAGACTGTGGAGACTGGTGGTGGTGGTTGTGACTTGGGCAGGTTGGTGTGTGGATTATAGGGCCGAGTGGTGAGGGAGTAGAGGTGCATGGAGAGGTGGTGGGGTTTGTAGAGGGGGCGGAGTGTGGCGAGCCCAAGACTGGGCAACCGCAGATGGTATCACGTGCGAGTACGCGCGTGCCAGCCAGTAGCACCGACTGAAGGCGGGCACGGCACACCAGGGGGGGGTTGCTCGCTAACAGCACTTGCCCCAAAAAGGTCTGTTAAGGCTTTAGATGGGATCTATGTCTTTGTGCGCGTGCGTGTATGTGTGTACGTGCGTTGGGGGTCATAAATCCAGCCAAAGTGATCGCTCAGCACTGGACAAGCGACGCGGAGCGGGGGGAGAAGGGAGTGCGGGGAGAGCCGTGCTCCGCATCTTTCAAGCAATTAGAAGAGGATTGGGAGCCAGGCTGGTGATGTGTAATGAGAGCCAGGCTGGTGATGGGAACCAGGCTGGTGATGGGAACCAGGCTGGGGGTGAAGGGCGGTGTGGTTGACCGTGTGCTCTGGTGTTTGTGAGAGGGTGGTTGTGGTAGCTGTTGCCGGGGTAGGAGCTGTTGCCGGGGTAGGAGCTGTTGCCGGGGTAGGAGCTGTTGCCATGGTTGCGCTGCTGGGGGTAGCTGTTGCTGTGGTTGTTCCTGGGGGAGCTGTCGTTGCTACTGCAGCTGTTGCGGGGGGTACCTGCGGCTGTTGCCGCGGCTGTTGCTGGGGGATATCTGTTGCCGAGGGGTGGCCGTTGCCGCGGCCGTTGCCGAGGGGTGGCCGTTGCCGCGGCCGTAGCCGTTGCCGCGGCTGTAACTGGGGCTGTTGCCGCGGCTGTAGCTGTGGCTGTGTCCCCCTCCTCAGTTGTCCCACCAGTCGACCGAGGAACCACGGGATCTGTTGTAGCTCCCTCCATCGGAGAAGCCGAAGCTGCCTGCTCACACACACAAAGGTCCCCGCGCACAGCCCGTTACGGGGTGTCGAGGGGCAAGTGCCGTCATGGCTACGAAGGCCGGCACGGCGCACGAGCGGGGTGGGTGGGTGGCCAGAAGCACACCCGGCCGTCTTTGTCTTCCCCGGTGCCGATGTTTGCTACACAGGTACTCCACGTGCGGCCGAAACGACCTAGGGGCAGGCCGCCAGGTCCGGTTCAGATAATCGCTATCACCGGCGTTGGTGGTGGCAGTGAATGGGAATCGAATGCGAGTGTCTACCGGGTTCGTAATGCAGCGCTAACCGCTGCACCACTGCTCCCACACACACACAACAAAAACAAAGATCCTCCGTGTAGCCTTAAGAGCAGCGCCTATAAAGGCCGGCACAGCACACGAGTGGGTGGGTGGCCAGCACCACGCCTGGACAATTTTATGTCCCCATTGGTGCTGGTTACACGACACACCAAACACTCATCGACCAGGGCGAAGGCCCAGGATCGCTTCAGACAATAGTCACTGGTGTTGTTGGCCGCGAGTGGGAATCGAACTTCGGGTGCCTGGTTCGTAGCGCAGCACGCTCACCGCTACACTACCGCTCCCCACACACAGGGATACGTTCACTCACTTTCACACGCACCACCACCGGTTCAGATAACCGCTATCGCTGGGTGCTGGTGGTGTTGGTGGCCGTGAGCGGGACACCCACCTGAGCCTCCGCGGCTGCTCCCCCCGCCGGGGCTGGGGCCGCCCTTGCGCCCCCCACCGCCGGGGGGTCCGTGGGTGGTGCGGTAGTCACGGCCGCCAAACGCCCCTCCGCCACCGCTCCTGCCACGCACACACCACACGCACCTTAGTACACACACACACACACTGGCACACACACTCATACACGCACACTAGCACAAACCCACCTATATATATAAAAATTAAAGATCGTCCATATAGCCTTAACAGACTGTTAGGGCAAGTGCTGTTAGCGAGCACCTATTGAGGCCAGAACGGCACACGAGGGGTGGGTGGCCAGCGCCACGCCTGGCCGCCTTTGTCTCCCTGAGTGGTGATGGTTTTGATGTTTTTATACATCGCCACTGGTACTTATTTGAGACGACCTAGGGGAGGTCCAGGACCAGTTCAGATAACCGGTGGGAGTCGATCTCGGTGTGAGTCTATGGGTCTGGCTGATGACGGTGTCCATGTAGATTGACGGCTGTGATTTGACAGTGAGGTGGCTAAGCACTGTATGGCAGAAAGAGACGCTCACCCAGCCACGAGAAACAACACATGGGGGAGGCAGGGGGAAGAGAGGCAGGGGGGAGAGTGGAGAAGTGGTAGGTGGCTGGGGGGGGTGAAGTGATGAGGCAGATGGTGAGAGCGGAGGGAGTGCACTGCTGCTGCTGCTCCACGCTGGGGAGATTGCCCAACAGCTGCCCTAACCGCCAACGCACAAAGCCAAAGTCGCACAGCAACAACAACAAGTGCCACCATGGCGCTTGTGTCAGGCTGTGTGCACTTAGAGGTGTAACACAAGCGCGCACATACACGCACGTGCCCACGCACGCACCTCTTGCCGCGGCCGCCACCGCCCCAGGCCCCGCTGCGGCTCTGCTGGCCGTAGGCGACGCCCTCCAGCCAGGTGGGGACCTCCTGGTGGGCCTCCACCAGCAGGTCCATGAGGTCACGCGCCAGGCTCGAGTTCTTCATGTTGAAGAACGACGTCGCCAGGCCTGGACAACGACGGGGTGGGGGAGAGACGAGAAATGGCGTGAGGCACGGAGGGAGGTGTGGGAAGACGTGGGGGTGGGGGGGAAGAGTCTAGAAACGGCGCGAGACGTAGGGGAAGGTGGGAGACGTAGGGTGGGGAGGTGAGAAGAGACGAGATGGGGGGGGGGGGACGCGGGAAGTTCATGTTGAAAAAAAAACAAGAACGTCGCCAGGCCTGGACAATGACATGGGGTGGAGGGGGGGGGGAGATGCAGAGGGGGGAGCGGTGGACACCACGAGGGTGGACAACACAGGGTGGTGGGGGGGGGTACGAGTGGTCGAGACGTGGGAAAAGATGCAGGGAGACACATGGACAACAGGGGTGGGTGCGTGGGTGGAGACGATCGCTCGGTGACCCTGAGCAGGCTCCCGCCCCTCCGCCACCAGGGGGATGCCACGCGGCTTCACCAGCCCCCGCCACAACCCCCTCCTCCTCCATTGGAGACCCCAGAGGAGGGGGAGGGGGAGGCACACGCCGGGTGGTGCTCTGCGGCTCCAGCGAACCGCACGTGGCACCGCTGGAGCCGAGACCGGCTGCATATACCGTGTGCACGTGTCCGTGTGTACAAGTGCGCGTGTGCACGTGTTCGTGTGCGTGTGCATACGTGTGCGAACCCAGGTTGCCCACGCGCACCCGATGCGGGTCACACGTGTGTGAGTGTGCAAGTTGGGGTGTGTACACGTGCCTGTGTGTAGGTGTGGGCGTGTGTGCGTACCCAGGTTGCCCACGCGCCCCCGATGCGGGGCACACGTGTATGTGTGTGCACGTTGGCGTGTATACACGTGCCCGTGTGTGTGTGCAAGTTGGCGTGTATACACGTGCCCGTGTGTAGGTGTGCGCGTGTGTGCGTACCCAGGTTGCCCACGCGCCCCGTGCGGCCGATGCGGTGCACGTATTCCTCGATGTCGCTGGGCAGGTCAAAGTTAATGACGTGCTTCACGTTCGAGATGTCCAGCCCACGGGCCGCCACCTACAGACACAGACAAAGGTGACCCCGGGTAGTCTCACGCAACGCTGGTCAGGGGCAAAGTGCTGTTTGTGAGCAGCAGCAGCGCCTATGAAGGCAACCAGTGCGCACAATGGGGCGGGGGGTGGACAGCACCACAGCCATCCATGTGTCCGCTTATTAAAGAGAGCTATGGAGCTCATTGGGCCTTACCTGGTCAAATAAAAATTAGTTTAAACGTTTTAGCTCAGTTGGAGGCAGTCGCCGACTAGCAACAGAGGAGCGATGCTCACAACGAGCGGAGCGACGTGTGGCTAAAATGCAGCGAGTTGGCACAGTAGGGGGCACAGGTGGTGCATGTGCCAATCAGTCAACCCATGGCACCTGGGTCTGTCCCGTGACCTTGTCAGCAGAGCCTTGCACATTTGCAGTGAAGGGCCTTAAGGTGCACCTAGCCTGGCACAAGCGCCGTGGGGACGTCAACCCCACCTAGTAGCAGATGGCAGCCGTTGTTGTTGAGTATCTATCTATGACTATGTATCTCTGCGGAGAGGGGGGGGGTCATTTCACCACCACTCGGTGGCGTATGGTGGCTGATGTGCATTCCTGCTTGTGTCTGTTAAGTATGCACGTTGAACTTATTTTTCACCATAGGTAGCCAACCACGCCAATCGGAGGTGCGGGGGAAAGACAGCGAACTAAACGCAAAAAAACTGTTTTAAAGAAATTAGTTTGTCAATCTAGATGATGATTAAAAGTGCCAAGCTCCAGTCGTTTCCTAATATCGGAAGAAAGGACTTTCCAGATGGCCGCAGAAACACATCCTAAAGCACGCGATACAGCGACCGTCTTTGTGCGTCTCCATCTCTGTAAATCTCTGTGCATCCCCGCACTGCGCGCGTGTCCCCCTCCCCCCGCACGTCTCCCCCCACAAGCCCCCCACCCACCCCCCCCCCGTGTCAGTGCGAGTCTCACGGCGGTGGCGACCAGGATGGGGCACTTCCCCGAGCGGAAGTGGTGCAGCGCCTCCTCGCGGTCGCGCTGGGAGCGGTCCCCGTGGATGCTGGTCGAGGGGTAGCCCTCATTGTAGAGGAAGCCCTCCAGCGCGTCGGCACCGCGCTTAGTCTCCACAAACACCAGCGTCAGGGACTCCACCTCTACACACGCACATTGTACACGCACACATGCATACAGACACACGTATACACAAAGACCCCCATACACGCACACGTGTAACTATACAAACACCAGCGTCAGGGAAGTGTGTACGTGTGTGCGTGTGTGCGTGTGTGCGTGTGTGCGTGTGTGCGTGTGTGCGTGTGTGCGTGTGTGCGTGTGTGCGTGTGTGCGTGTGTGCGTGTGTGCGTGTGTGCGTGTGTGCGTGTGTGCGTGTGTGCGTGTGTGCGTGTGTGCGTGTGTGCGTGTGTGCGTGTGTGCGTGTGTGCGTGTGTGCGTGTGTGCGTGTGTGCACGTGTGTGCTTGTGTACGTGTGTACGTGTGTACGTGTGCGTGTGTGCGTGTGTGCGTGCCTCACCGGCGGCGTTGAGCAGGTCGAGCAGGAAGGAGCGCTTGTCGTCCTCCTCCACCCACACCACCTTCTGGGTGATGTTCTCCGACGTGGAGCCCACACGCCCCACCGCCAGGAAGATGTAATCTTCCAGGAAGTCCCGCGCCAGCATCTACAGCCACACGGTCAGACGGTCGGTCAGACGGTTGACCAGCCAGCTGGACACGGTTGGTAAGTCAGCCAGTTGGTCAGCCAGCCGGTTAGTCGGTCAGTTCAACCAGCCAGCCGGCCAGCCAGCCAGCCGGCCAGCCAGCCAGCCGGCCAGCCAGCCAGCCGGCCAGCCAGCCAGCCAGCCAGCCAGCCAGACGACCAGTCAGCCAGGCGGCCGATTAGCCAGCCAGCCAGACGGCCGATTAGCCAGCCAGTGTGCATCTCTAACCTGGATCTCCCGGGGGAAGGTGGCGCTGAACATGAGGGTCTGGCGCTCGCCCTTGACGGGCATCACGTCCTGCTCCACAATCTTACGGATCTGGGGCTCAAAGCCCATGTCCAGCATGCGGTCAGCCTCGTCCAGCACCAGGAACCTGGGGGGGAGGGGGCGGACACGGAGAAGGGGAGGAGCGGGTGGGAGGAAAGAGCGGAGAGGCAGTCAGTCACATGCAGAGGGAACATGGAGGTATTGAGGCTTAGACTTAAGAGTCTATGGGTCTCCGTGCGATGAGTCTATGGGTCTCTGATAAGCGAGCCTATGGCTCTCTCCGTGCGTACCCCTCACATGGGAGGCCCCGGCCCCCCAAACCCCCCGCACATCTGGTGCGCTGCGTGCGGGAGTGCCCCGTGTGTGTGTGCGTGTCTGTGTGTGCGTGTCTGTGTGTGCGTGTCTGTGTGTGCGTGTGTGCGCGTGTCTGTGTGTGTGTCTGAGCGCTCACCTGGTGAACTCGAGGCCGATCTTGCCGCGCTCCATCATGTCGACCAGGCGGCCCGGAGTGGCCACCAGGAGGTGGCAGCCGCGCTCCAACTCGCGGATCTGCTGCCCGATGTCCGCGCCGCCGTACACCACGCAGGGGCGCACGCGCGAGCGGTACGCAAACTACACGCACAGAGCACATGCAGAGTACACGCAGTGTACACCACACGCAGGGGCGCAAGCGGTACGCAAACTACACGCACAGAGCACATGCAAAGTACACGCAGTGTACACCACACGTAGGGGCGCAAGCGGTACGCAAAGTACGCACGGCATAGAGTACACATAGGGGTGGGAGCGGCACTCAAACCACGCACGTCCGCGCATGGTACACACACAGTACACCACGCAAGGGCTAATGGAGGGGGGGGTAGGTGGTGGTAGCAGAGGGGGTAGGTAGCAAAGGGCGGGGGATAAGTGGTAGAAGGGTGTAGGTGGTGGGGGGAAGGTAGTAGAGGGGGAGTATAGGGGGCAGGTGACGGGGGGATAGGTGGGGTAGGTGGTGGTGGTGGAGTAAGTTGGCGGAGTGGGGTGGTAGGTGACGGTAGGTGGTAGTGGTGGTACCTTGCGCGACTCCTCGTGGATCTGGGAGGCCAGCTCACGCGTGGGCGCCAGCACGAGGGCCAGCGGGTACTGCTTGCGCCGCCAAACCTCGCTATGTCCTGAGCGCAGCGACAACACAAAGACAAAGGTCCCCCGTGTAGGCTCAGCGGGCGCCGTTGGCGAGCGACAGCGACCGAGAAGTTCTGCACGGTGGCGCAAGAGGGTGGGGGGTGGGTGGCCAGCACCACGCCCCCCACCTTATTCATACGCGTACAGCACCAGGTACTCATTTGAGGCCGAGTCGACCTAGGGGAGGCCCAGGACCAGTTCAGATATCCGTCACTGGTGTTGTCCGTGAGCTGGAATCGAACTCGTGTCGCCCGGGTTCGTAGCGCAGGGCGCTAACCGTGGCGCCGCACTCCGGAGGGAGTGAGGGGAGGGGCCAACCCATGTATGTTCATGATGCTGAGAGTCAATGTCACGAGGTCAAAAGTATTTGGCTTCTGCTATGAATTTCCACGCTATCATGTGGCCAGGTTGCTTATGTTGCAATTATTTCGCATTGTTAGGCGTCAACTGTGCTAATCAAAAATTAACTATATAGCTCATTGGGCCTTACACCTGGTAAAATAAAAATATTAACAAGTTCAACTAAACTACTTTTAATTTACCAGGTGAGGCCCACTGAGCTATATTGCTCTTTTTCAGAAGCGGCCTGGCCACAGATGACAGCCCAACAAAGTTGCTCATCATGTGGAAGTTTATTGCAGCAGCCAATTACTCACAACACGTTTCTAAATGTGGAGAGAAAAACCAGAGGACCTGGAAAAAAATCCACGCGACCACGGGGAGAGACAGAAAACTCCGAAATATACAGCAGCCATCAGGGTCAGGATTGAACCCACGACCTGTCTTGCCAGGCGGGCGAGGTAGTTAACATTTCCTAGCCAGCATGGCACCCAGACTTGCGGAATGGCAGGGGGGCAGGGAGGGGGTAACAGACATCAGTAAAAAAAATAGACATTCATAGGCTAATCAGATTTCTCCAGGATACAATAAAAAAACTAAACTCTGCAGATGTACGGCTGGATCGTCTGTACACTCACCTTGGCGGCCAGAAGAGCCTCTCCAGGACCCTCCAGGTAGATCTGGCTCAGGATGGGCACCAGGAAGGCGGCCGTCTTGCCGGAGCCGGTCTGCGCGCAGGCCATGAGGTCGCGCTTGCCGATGATGATGGGGATAGCGTACTTCTGCACCGGCGTGGGCCGCGTGTACCGAGTCAGCGCTATGTTCCCCATGATGATTTCGCCCATCTCCACCTCCTCAAACTGGCACGCAGAAGAGGAGAAAGGTCCGAAATTGAGAAGGAGAAAGGTCACCCACCACCAAGCAAGTGCCGTTATCACGAGTCAACCTCGGGGAGGGAAGAGGGCTCACAGGACAAGTTCGCTGTCGCCGAGACAGCATCGGCACCATCAAAGCATCGCCGGAATATAGTTTAAAATGAATGATAGCCATGCAGTTTTAAATGCTATCCAGATGCTGACGGTAGTCATTCATTTTAAATGGTGACGGTGATGATGGTGGTGATGGTGGTGTCACGGTGCAAATGGTGCCGAGGGGGCGGCTGTCGGCATGGGGCTGGGGTAGAGTCGGCCCGGTCGTCTCACCGTGTCAATGTGGTTGGGGCAGTCGTGCCCGGTCGCCTCCACAGGGATGTTCGTCATACTTCTCAAAGTTGATCCCCGTGTTACTGCCAGCAAAGAGCTCCCTACGCACCGCACAGAGCCACGACTCGTCACCACTGCCCCTACACACAGCCACTACTCGTCACCACTGCCACTACACAGCCCCTACTCGTCACCACTGCCACTACACAGCCCCTACTCGTCACCACTGCCCCTACACAGCCACTACTCGTCACCACTGCCCCTACACAGCCACTACTTGTCACCACTGCCACTTACACAGCCACTACTCGTCACCACTGCACCTACACACAGCCACTACTCGTCACCACTGCCAACTACACAGCCACTACTCGTCACCACTGCCCCTACCACAGCCACTACTCGTTCACATGCACCTACACACAGCCCCTACTCGTCCCCACTGCCCCTACACAGCCACTACTCTTCACCACTGCCCTACACACAGCCACTACATCGTCACCACTGCCCCTACACAGCCACACTCGTCACCACTGCCCCTACACAGCCCCCTACTCGTCACCACTGCCCTACACAGCCACTACTCGTCACCACTGCCACTACACGCCACTACTCGTCACCACTGCACCTACACACAGCCACTACTCGTCACCAACTGCATTACCCAGCCCCTACTCGTCACCACTGCCACTCACAGCCACTACTCGTCACCACTGCACCTACACACAGCCCCTACTCGTCACCACTGCCCCTACACAGCCACTACTCTTCACCCATGCCCTACACACAGCCACTACTCGTCACCACTGCCCCTACACAGCCCCTACTCGTCACCACTGCCCCTACACAGCCACTACTCGTCACCACTGCCCCTACACAGCCACTACTCTTCACCACTGCCCCTACACAGCCACTACTCGTCACCACTGCTCCTACACAGCCACTACTCGTCACCACTGCCACTACACAGCCCCTACTCGTCACCACTGCCACTACACAGCCCCTACTCGTCACCACTGCCCCTACACACAGCCACTACTCGTCACCACTGCTCCTACACAGCCCCTACTCGTCACCACTGCCACTACACAGCCCCTACTCGTCACCACTGCCCCTACACAGCCCTACTCGTCACCACTGCCCCTACACACAGCCACTACTCGTCACCACTGCCCCTACACAACCCCTACTCGTCACCACTGCCCCTACACACAGCCACTACTCGTCACCACTGCCCCTACACAGCCACTATTCGTCACCACTGCCACTACACAGCCCCTACTCGTCACTACTGCCCCTACACACAGCCACTACTCGTCACCACTGCCCCTACACAGCCACTACTCGTCACCACTGCCCCTACACAGCCACTACTCTGCCCACGCGCATCTCTCTCTGCGTGCAGCGTGCGTACTGCTCGATGCGCTCGTTGCGAGGCTGCTGGCGCGACCAGTCGTCGTCGCCGCGTCCCCCGCTGCTCCCGCTGTCCGACCAGCGCGTGTTCCGCGGGGGGTCGCGCCCCCCAAAGCTGCCCCCTCCGGGACCCCCGCGGGGGCGCCCGTTCTCAGCGCCATCGCGACGATCCGAGCCGCCTCCCCACCCACTTCCGCGCTCATCAAACCTGAGTGCAGACAAGAGACGCCCACCGTTAGGAGACACACAACCCCCCGACAAAAACAAAGGTCCTCCCCGTATATCCCACTCTGCGCGTCCCGTATGCGTATGTTGCGCGCACGGATGTACTCTGCGTGTACTGTGCACCGTATTTGTAATCTGTATGTACTGTGC